AACATTTTTCTGGAGTTCATCATGGCACGTTTTTTTTTTTTTTCCGTTACTTTTTGAAGAAGTTAACGAACCGAACCATTCTTCTAAATATAAATCAATGATAAAAACCAGAAGTCATCCTTTTTGTATTTATTACCTATATATTATTCTCGCAATTTTATTTTAATTTTCAAAGATAAGCTAATGCTTACCAGATTATTTGAAAGTTCCTTTCTTTCACTTTCCTTTCTTTCTTTCTTTCCTTTTCTTTCATTTTCTTTCATTTTTTCTCCTTCTCTCTCTCTCTCTCTAACCAACAATGTTATTTCTATCTTTTTCTTTTATATTATCATCATCATTATTATTATTCTCTCTCTCTCTCTCTCTCTCTCGCTTCCCGTCATTTTTTAATCCCCGAACAACATTACTGATAACAAACCAACTCCATCTTTTTACATATATATATATATATATATATATATATATATATATATATATATATATAAATACATTAGACTTTTTTGTTGTTGTTGTTGTTGTTGTCTTTCATTCAAAAAATAAGAGACAGATATGCGTTAAAAAAAAAAAAAAAAAAATTCACGCACACACGCTCGTACATAATTTATTTATTTATTTATTAATAATAACGGCTTAGATTTTTTACACACCAAAAAAATAAATAAATAAAACTTTATCAACCCTTAGTTTTGTAAAATTACAATTAAAAAAAGGTAAAAAAAAAAAAAAAAAAAGGAGAAAAGTTGAAAAAGGTCAAAATTTAACATAATTACCATCGAATAATAATAATAATAATAATAATAATAATAATAAAGCCAACGGCCATAGCGTGCTGGTCACACCGGTTCCCGTACGATCACCGAAGTTAAGCAGCATCGGGCGTGGTGCAAACTTGGATGGGTGACCGTTTGAGAACGCCACGTGCTGTTGGCTTAAAAGAGCAAAAAAAAAAAAAAAATGAGAACAAGACAAAGTAAGAACCAAAAAACAATTCTTGTTCTACTGTCGACCTGAGGCAGCTCGACGAGAACGTGAATTTCACTGCTTCTGACCCTGGCCACTCCAAAGATGTTAGTCACTGGAGCCCAGTTCAGGAGACAAATCGTTCCCATCGAAAAAGACGGACTCAGGAAGACCTTCAAGAATTGATGTGGTGCTATCTTATAATAAGTGGCACCACCGAAATTCGAGTATTTGTCCCTAAGGAATCGGGTAGAAACCTCGGATAAATACTTAAAAACTCCGACAAGTAGCCTTGTCGTGTTTAATGGTGGATAATAATAATAATAATAATAATAATAATAATCGTAAAATAATTTTTTACCATCGTTTTTTTGTTGTAAAAAAATCCAAATAAAATAAAAAAAAAAAAAAAAAAATAACTGAAAATATTTTATTTTATTTCTCCCCTTTCTTCCTCCCTCTCTCCCTTCCCAAAATAAATAATGACCTTTTATCATCTGCTTTTTTCCCTTTTGTCAATACAATCATTGTAAATTTACAAAAAAAAAAAAAAAAATTTCTTTAAAAATAAATAATATCACACTATCAATTGTTAAGGGGTGTATCATTATTACCTTATTTAAACGTTTATCCCCTCTCCTCTCTCTCTCTCTCTCTCTCTCTCTCTCTCACGTGTGTGTGCGTGTGTGATGCTTTCGTGCGTTCGTCCGTGAAAGTATATTTATATACACGTACGTTACAAACACACGCACGTACGCACGCACTCAGAGAGAGAGAGACACGTATAATTTGATTTAAAATAATAATAACTTGTAACCGTACGAAATAATATTTAAAAAAAAAAAAAAATAAATTTTTCATAAAACTTATAATAATAATAATAATAATAATAATAATAATAATAATAATAAA